ATTTACTTCTTAGTGGGTTGGTTGGAGTTCTCTATGAGAAGGTCCCTTATCTTATCATTGTACACCTCTAACATGCTGACAAACAACTCGTATTTGATGATACTGCTTCTCTCACTAGATGAGCTGAATAATTTCTCCAATGTCCGATAGTTGACTCCCCTGTTTTCAGGTGTTCCTTCCATTGTGAAGGTCTTGCCAGTTCCCGTTTGTCCATAGGCAAAAATGCATACATTATAACCATCCAACACAGAGGTTACCATTGGCATGGTTTCAACAAAAACGGCTTCTGCATTGCAGAAATTGACGAATTATATTAGTATCTAATAGAAGATTTGTCTCACAGTTAAACCAGAATGTGCCCGCTAAGATCATAGTTACCTTGGCCATCATCTGGTTTGAAAACATGATCAAACCTAAACTGTTTCCTAGAAGAATCAGAGGAGACAATTTGTATCTCATTTTCATGAGACAAATCAAAGTCAACCACAGATGATGAACCATTTGCAACTTCATCAGGATTTAGTGGTCTGTATCTACAGAAAACTCGTATATTGCCTTTCAACTCAATCACTTCATTGTAGAGACGTTTTTTCTCAGTGCATACCTAAAACCAGCCAAAAGTGAGAATAATAATCAAACCAAAGAAATATATGAGCGAAAGGCATCGTAGAAAGTTCAAGAGAGCGGTCTATCAGAAAAGCAACATACCGAGATCCCGAAGAGAGCAGATAGCTTCAGAACCAGGGAAAGAATCTGGAGTGATACTCTTCACCTCATCACTCAGAGCCGCATGTTTTCTTCTCAAATCCTGGAAGGAAAATAGGGTTAGTAATGTGTGCAAAAGAAGATCCATTTCTATCAACAAACAAATCTAAACAGGCAGTGAAAAGCCTTACATGCACTTTAGCAGCCAGATCTTCAATTTTCTGAAAAATAGGAAGAGTTTGCTCTTGACATGATTTCTCTGTGGCTTCATTTGAACCACAACTGGAATCCAACAAAGCACCTATCGGCAGTGTTTCTGTATCAATTCCAAAAATCAATGCTTAGGTAATTTTAGAGATTTTAGCGTCAAAAGGAACCCCACAGTTAACAACAAGTTTGTGTTTCAATTTCATCAATTCAAATTGAAAGATAAAAAATTCCAATTCATCCGATCGAATTAGTTACCCTTCTTACTTCATCATGTCCTTCATATCTAAGTTCCAGGCCATTGAAATTGGAATGAAACATTCAAAATACTCAAAAAAAAACAAATGAACTGCACGGACATAATTCAGGCCTGCAAGAGAAGAAAGGGGGAAAACATCAGGAGAAAGGAAATCTAAAAACACTGAAGGCGGAAATTAAAATTGAGATTTGCAAGAAAGGCATATAACATATCAAAAGAGCGAGAGTTTGGAGGAGTACCTTCCGTGAGTGGATTACAGTAGTAGGAATTGGCGATGAATTTGATGAGTTTCAGAGGTAGGAGACCAAATGCAGCCGAGAAGATAGCGAAGAAATTGAAATCTTGAAGCGCGATAGAGTTGAATAGCAGACGAGAGAGAGAAGAGAGAGTCTAAGGAGGCCAAGAATAGGGTTAAGAGGTGAGCATTTACAAGTTTTGGAAAATGGGAGATCTTTGATGGAAGGGAGGGGAGAACATACCTCCGGCGGATGGAGTTGCAGCTACGGCGTGAAGGTGAGTGGCGGCGACGGGGGAAGAAGAAACGAAGCTTGAGATGAAGAAACGGGAATGGGGAATCGCAGGGAATGAGAGAGGAAACCCCGATATAAGCTACGGAATAGGCCTCCAACGGCTAATCCAAAACTTAAAAGGAAAGGGATGAATTTTATCACCTTCCTTTCCCATTCCCTTACCCCTGAACCAAACGCTCCCTTACAAGTTTTGGAAGATCAAATTGTGAGAGAGCGTTACAGTATCCAGTCATTGCCCGACCCGAATGCCCCAGCCCCCCAATTGCCCAAACTTGTTTTAAGGGTGACCGACAACGGAGTAGTTGACGGTGACAATAGTAGCTGGTCATAGAGAATGATTAATGGTTAAGAAACATATCAAACACTCATATATTGATATATCTACCAAATTCAAAAGATATCAAAAACTTTCATTTGAAGGACTTATGATATCTGGAGGTTTCGAATTTTATATTTTTTTGGCCCTCACCAAATATCCAAAAATTTTTTTAGTATATGGAGATATCAAAATACATACTCCGTAGGAGATTGAGGTGTAGGAATTCTAATGGAATACTCTCTTCGTCCTAAAACTTTCTTCCAAGAATAGTATTCCAACTTCACTGGAATTTATAGTTATTTGTATTTTTTCATGAACTATATGATAAAATTAAAATATTCTTGTCACCACTTGTTTTGTTAAACTACGATTGTAATAGAAAGTGATTACAATTCACAAATGACGCATCAGATGTAACGCCCCACAAACCGGCCTAATATTTAGCCAATATTTTAAATAAATAAATATTATTTATTTATTGAGACACATTATTTTAAGTAATAAATATTAAGATTTCGATCTCATTAAATGGGCGTCCAAAGTTAATATATTTTAATAACGGGCCTATCAACATTAATTAATTAAATAAATTAATTAATGATTGAGATGGATCCGGAAATTTGAAAATAAAGTTTTTAGAAAAATATTTTGAAGATGTCATAAATTTAGTTTTGACTGTTTATTTCCGGAAACGCAATCGGTTTCCAATTCGTGCAAGTTCGGGGGAAAAACGCATACCGTTCAGGTCTGAATTTACACAACAGAGTGAGTTTTAGGGAGGTAACTCCCCAAACAAATCCACACGCCACACCCATCACCATGCATTCCCCATTTTTAATTCTCATTTACTTTCCTCATCATTCCTCCATTATTCCTCCATTATGTCTCTTCAATATAAACACCCTCTCTCCCTTCCATCTCCTTCACCATTTAAAACCCCCACACCATCAACACACTCTCAACCCTCCCACTTCTCTTTGTATTCCGGCTCAGCAGCCACACCACGGAGGAAGGCCGACGAAGGAGAAGAAGAGGAAGAAG